ACTCCGTCCAAGTTATTCCCAACCGTTTATAGAATCACATCTCTTTCGCCTTTTCCTCTCATCTGTTAGAAAACTGTTCAGTATTGACTGGCAAATAGAATTGATATTACATATAGTTCAGCATAATTTTATTTGTTTCTAGCTAAAATATCGCGTTTATTAATATAGTATCTAACTTTTAGAGGCGTTAACTACTTTCATGAAAAGCCTCACTATTGTGACATGACAGCTCTTTTAGTAACGTCTATTTAAAATATCTCAGAATTATGCATTACTGTTTATTGATATTAATAGTGAAGGCGGATGACAATAAGTCAGATTTTAGGTTTATTTTATACTTTTTAAGACAGGTAAGAAAAACGAGTAACACTTAATGAAGGAAGAACTGAGCATTTTTTATGGAGACGACAGTATGAGGAAATATGCGAGAATATTTTGTAAGGTTTAATATTTCTAAGTGGAACGAGGTTTAATCGAAGCCGAAGTGCAGTTGAAGTTGATCCGCCCATTAAGAATAATGGACATTATATAACGCGAATGATTGACACCATTCTCAATATATTCAAATTAAACAACGAGAATTATTCGTTCTATATTAATCACATGTATTTTATATTAATCATTTGATGCGTTATTTCCGCTTATAATAAACTCTGAAAATACTATACTCTATACAAATATTTCGTGTTTAAAAAACAATTGTGTTCACTTTAAGGTGTCTACGTTAAACAACGTGAATCAAAAACAAGAGAAACGAAAGGAACAACCACTAACTATACTATAGATTTTTGATTAATTGATTTGTTTTTTTACAGTTTAACAACACTTTATGGAGTATTTAAAGCCGAAATATATTTTTAAAGTAAGAATAATTCTCTTTTGCGGGTGAATATTGCATTGCCATTTTTTTTTTTTTATAATAGAAACATTTTTTAAGATAGAACTCTTACTATTTAACCAACTGGAGCTGGATCCATAATTTTCTCAAGATTTTTGTGCGTAAATGTATGTAAAGCAATTGTCGAGAATTCGAGCTCGGATCTCCTATTTCCCATTGCATGCTGATATCCTTTGCACCACCCGCACGTCCCTATGCTAGAGTTCAGCCTTCACACAAAGGAGTTTTTAAAATTAATTCATATCAGGTAAGGGGTTAGTGCCATTATGTCGAGTGGGCTACTGAGAGTGAAAGGGAATTAAGACTTTAGATTGAATCGTAAAACCAATCCTAAACACGAAACAATGGATAAACTTCTACTCCTGTACAAAAGACAAATGAAACCGCGTATGTTTTAGAAGAAAAAAGACGTTCTCTGATTTTGAGTCATTCATCAAATAAATAAGATCTTGGAATTTTGGACGATTACTTAAAATAGCATTACATTTTTTTTTAAATGCCATTTTCCTAATTGGCTGTAAAAGACATGTACAACAGTTCTTTGTTTACAAAAATAAAATGTTATGGGAGAATGATTTATGTAAATATCAGAAACGTGTTTTATTTACAAATAAGCCAAACATTTTGATTGACTAATCGAATAATTGTTCCTGGCGTATATGAAAAAGATTAGGAATTAGAGAAATATATATTCAGTTTTCTTTTTGAGAAAAGAAAAAAGTAACAACTCTGAATAAATCTAGGATTAACTTCAGGAATTTTCGAATGCTCGCTGCAATAAAGATACCTCGGTTCAGCATTTCCATTTCGTGAGTTGACAAATCCTAATTCTTTATTGGAAAGCAAACGAAATAGAACGATCATATAATATAAGGAAATGAAAGAAGAACCCATGGAATGAATAAAATAGAAGTAAATGGAATGTTCTAATTAAAGAGGAAGAAATGTTGTATATAGCAACAAAAAAAAACAAGATGTCGGTAAAATTAGCAAGGGAAATACAAATAAACATTAAATAAAGAAGAACAACGAACAGGGATTAAGAAATTGTGGATGGGTGACATGACGATGTCCCCGTTTGCACATGAAAGCGCCATTTCGGAAGCTTTTAGCATTAACACGAATTAATTAAAGCAGATGAGAAACGTTATGAAGAAGGGTTCCATCGAGCAGAGATCGATGAGAGAAAGAGCCCACTATAAATCTTAATTAGAACCCAAAAATGAATGGTTAAAACAGAACCAGCAAAGATGTAATGTTATTTTAACTTTTTACTTTTTAGTAAGATCGAGGAAATCCAGCATAACTAAAATTCACTGAATCCCCTTCAAATTCACGTAAGCGTCGTATTGACAGGATCACCGGTTTCTCAGATAAAATGTAAGTCAGTCAACATTAATTAAGTTGTTTCTGTTTTGTATTGTATCTTAAATCTAGAAATTACAGATAGGATCAAATTCTCTATCTTTGGCCACGTGTCAGCATTAGGGACATCTGGTTTTCAGATACTGAAAGTAATTTTTTTTTAACTTTAGATTAACGTAAGTAATATTTATTGCAACGCTGTAAAGGTAAAGGCAAATTTTCTGTTTACATTCAGAAAGTCCGTTCACTGGCGTGAAAATCTATGGATCCTGCTAGACGATCCATAAGTGAATATACAGACACAATTACTACACAGTAGTTTCATATCTTTTTTCATAACTACACTACAAGCCTCAATATAATTTTCTTTTCTTCTCAGCTACCCATATAATTATACGAAAGAAAAGCTTGTTGAAAGCTACATATGCTTTAGTTTTATTATCATACTTATTATAAAACCCAGGTTTTGTGTGTGTGTGTGTGTGTGTGTGTGTGTGTGTGTGTGTGTGTGTGTGTGTGTGTATCTGTACGTTTATATATTGGATCGGATTTCCTACATTTTTCACCCGATTTCAACAAAACTTCACAGGACTAGGTAAAATTACCTTGCGGTGGTTCTGACAGCGTCAAAAAGTGGAAAAACACAATTGTTTTTATACGAAATCAATTTGAAAACATGATTAAGAGGCATCGTTTTCGCGGAATGAAAGGGGGACAACTCATATCGAGTTATACATAAACCCCAGGTTATTTGTGTGTGTGTGTGTTCGTTTATATATGGGATCGGATTTCCTACAAAACTTAACTTTGGGGGGGGGTAGGTAGTGTTTCTTATTGTCTAGCACACTTTTTTTTCTTTATTTTTACATTAAGAATGTTTAAAAATTCCATTTACAAGACAATTGTTTATAATAAAATTCTATTCAATCGGTAGACTCATAACGATTGAAAACAATGTTTTTGTTTGAGTTTGGGTTTGACCAAAAAAAAAAAAAAAACTAATTAAGACATGCGTGTCCATCAACCTTAAACAATAATCTTTGTCAATTTTATTTCTCAGTCTTTATGATGGTCGATACTTGATCTATCTCTTACTGTTACATCCCCGGGCAACGCCGGGCTCTACTGCTAGTTTATTGCTAGAAATTTAATAAAACCCGTTTCAGCCAACATAAAAAAAAATAATAATTTTTTATTTATGTTATACGGCAAGTTTGCTGCCAGAAAACCGAGTGAGACGACATTAATATTTCTGAGCTGCGGAGATCTGAGAAATCCCCAGGATAGATTTCAGAGGCGGGAATCGATAAACACCGTCCCGCACAAGGTCATATTGGACGTTTATATTCTTTTCTTGATCTCAACTCTTTTCATCTCTCGATCTTCATATTTAGCACAAACGGATATGCAATGTGATAGGTCCTGATCTGAAATCTAGTCTAGAGTCGCTTTCTGAGACACGTGCTGTGGATTCCTTCTAACTCTTCTATAAGTAATTTCACGGCAACTGTTCCGACGAGTTGCTTTTTCTGCCTCCCGGAGGCATGAATTTAAGCGAGCTACTAGATTGGCATCTCGGTCCCACCCTTTCGAAACGGTTAAATGTAAACGTTTCTTCTATTTAAACAACTTCTTCTCTCACACTTCCCGTCTGTTGAATTCTCTTCCTCGCTTCGCTGATAGCTATAATCTTCAAATATTCAAGTGTAATGTCAATCGACATCTTCTGCTACCTAGATCTTGTTCCCCGTCCTTCTATTTATCCTCTCCCCAAACACGCATTTTTACTCTTGTTCTATACCCTCCGTAACCCCTTGCGTCCTAGTGGCACTCCCGCCTTCCTTAGTGGTGAAATGCTTAAAAAAAAAGAAAAAAAATATCTTAACTTTCAATCTGCATTTGGTTTACGTGATGAGAAAGTTGCGTCCTTCATTCAGAAATGCGTAACATGTTTATAATAGAGAATTGTACCAGCTGTATTCCTTACTCCAGCAGTTCTATCGAAATCATTAGTTGCTTGTATTAATATGCATCATTAGTAATAGTTGATTTCAAATAATAAAAAAAAAAAAACAAACAAGTAAAAATAAAATACGGTCTTCTTCAAGCATGTACGCCTAGCAAATCTTGATTTCGGTTTAATCAAACGTACTACATCTATTTTATGTCATAATTGACACTCAACTGATTCTCATTAGAATGAAGCGAAGGTCTCATTTATAATCATTAAAACTACGTTCTAACACTTAGACTCTGTAATCAGCACAGTGCACAACAATTGCAATGAGGAAGTGATGACAGCCATTAGCGCTAGTACGAACCTCACTTTCCAAAGAAAACAACTCGAAAGAAAGAAAGAACAAACTGAAACATAATTTAAGAGAACAGCTTAATGAGCAGCTAATACCTCATTTCTCCATTTCAAACAGATTCCTTGAATCTGTATCCAGTGTTTAATTTTGCATTTTATTCATACTGCTCAAAAGCCGCCAAAGGCAGACACTAATCTCAACGTTAAGTCTATATATATTATAACTATTTATAAAAAAAAAAGAAAAAAAAGTTAATCTGCGATTAACTAAACCCCAACGAAATATAAACATCGATTTAATTTTAAATCAATCCATCTCAAATCAACAGCAATACATTGATCTTTGAACATGCATGCTGGTAAGAAAAAATATACTGTACATGATGGAGAAAAGAAAAATAAATGAATGCTTTAATAATCTTTGGCTTACAGCCATATCACTTTGAAAACCTGCTCTCGTCCGATCACCGAAGTTAAGCAACGTCAAGCCTGGTAAGTACCTAGATGGGTGACCGCTTTAACCTTGGATGCTCGATTGCTCGGAATGAGAAGTCGGAAAAGGCGAGTTCGACTTCCAGTCGGGCTCATTACATTCACTTCCGCTCAAATTCCCTTGGGAAAGTCATGAACCCACCTCTTCTTCCCCTCATCTATGGGTTAAAATAGTAGGACTTGTATCTGAAAATCATTATTATCGCCAAGAAAATGTTAATATAATATCCTCTCAAAAAAATAAGAATGGTTTTCACAGGACCTGCACAAAATTGTTTAGCCGTAAAAAACAGTCAATTGTCTTTGAATAAAATGATGAAATAAAGACAATTTTCTCGAAAGTATTTCTACATAAAAAAGAATAATAAAGAGTTTTTCACAAATAAAATTATTTTGCGCACATCATTATCTTTTGCGGGTGAGGAAGCCTGAATTTGGGATTCTTCCATTTTGATGGGGGTAGTGTGCCTGCGGACGAATTTGATTACAGGAAAGCTTGTTTCTTTTTTTTTTAATGTTCCAAGATCTCTTTTAAAGGTATTTGCATTCTGCTATTCATATTTTCACACTGCTCATTGCGCGGTCACAAGTAGTTACTTTATCACCACCAGCTGGATTACCTGAGTGAAGGAGTCTGATGTTGGGTAAACCCGAAACTCCTAAGGAACCCAAGATAAGATCACTGATGCTGTGGCCGCAGCCATCTTAGATACATTTCAAAACTATGCAGCAATAAAGAAAATTTCCCTTTTAATTATTTTAATTTTGATATGATTTTATTTTTGATTTTTGTGTGTTTCTTACAAAGCGAACAAAAAAAAAAATATCATACTCTTATTATAAATCTATAAAACGGATTTAAATTGATTTATTTTTCCAATCGGTGTTGTCGGAAAACCGGCTATGATGTTCCATTTTGCTGTATAACGTCGACCAATAGCCTATCAGATTGAAAACGAATCATTATAAAAGACTGCAAGAGTTCACATAAAAAATACATCGTTAATGACTAAGTTGACTGCAAATCAAATTTTCTAATGATATGCTAATTATAATACAAGGGCATGCATTTATTCGATGCTTAAGAGAAATGGAATATTTATTCCCTCAGTAAAAGAGTTTCTGACTTAAAAACGCTTCCCCAATTCAAAAGTAATTCGTATTTAAAACGATTTTACAAGCGTAGCTTAGATGTGGCACAAGGCCGAAAATATGAGTCAACCCAGTGAGTATCGAACTCACTACTCAGTCATAATTATTCTAGCGAGACGAGCTTGATTCGCATTTAAATGTTTCTATTTTTGATAGATTGAATTAAAAAGTTTTCTCTAGAAATATCTAATCTTGATAATTTTGGAAAAAAAATGTATTCCAGATTTTGTACTTCTTCACGCGACTCTGAAATAGTTTGACTGGGGTTTGTTGTAACATCTTGATAAGTTTGAAATTTACGTGTAATATGTCGTAAGGAAATGTCATTTACATATTTCCTGTATATTCAAAGGGTCGTATAAAGGCACGGTTCCATTAAGTTTTTAATTAGGGCCTTATAATTCTTAGAAGATCCAGCCTGCTATATTCTTCTTGATAGATCTATTGCCAAAGTGAATAATTACTATAATTCACGCTGGAATGGTGAAAATTCAAGTCCCCTATCTTACATTTCATTATCCTTACTTCACCCGTCATCTGATCTATGTAAATATACAGAGTCTCTGATGTCTTTCCAAATCAATAAAACATGTTTATTTGATCTTTTGTACTTTGAGCTTTTAATTGCTTGTCAATATGTGAATCGAACCTCGCATTCTACTGCTAATGGTTTATCCAGCAATACACGATAACGAGGCCTTTTTATATTTCATCGCAATAAATGAATAAACATAGTGAAAAAAAAAACAAAACATGGAAATTGAAGTTGACGTATCGAGTTCAAATTCAATAGGCGTCAGCTTCGTTCAATTCATACAAATATTTTTGTAAAAGGAATATATCAACCTTCCTTTAACTATAGGTTAAATTTTAGCACAAACTAGACTCTACCGCTTTCGGTGGTAACGAATCTATGAGAAGGAATCTCTGAAATTAAACCCTCATAATTAATGGTAGAAACTTTGCTATTGAGCCTTAGTAAAACACCCTGAGACAGTCGAAACATCTAGGACACGTAATGACAAAAAAGTGGGGCTTGGGAAATTTAACTCTCACAGAACCCATTGAACGCAAGAGGGAGGGATTAAAACAGTGAGTAACGTGTTTGGGTAAATGAATTGCAAAAGAAGCGATGTGATGGATGTTGAAAAGATAAAACTTATTAATAGCTGCGCGTGATAGGAATTTGCGTAAAGTCATGTCACTCACGTCCTGAATGGAAATGGTACATAACTAAGCAGACATATAGTATAGCATAAGAACAGTGGTGATTTACAAAGCCTGTTGAAGAATGGGTTTTTAACGCTCCCAATCCTTCGACTGGCTCGCAGCTGTTGATGTTGCTCCTATGATCCTTTTGGGTGATGAGATTCGTGATTGTGAGAATCCCAGAGTGGGTATTTCAGAAAATCAAGGAAGGAGGATTTTATATATATATATATATATATATATATATATATATATATATATATATATATTTACTGCTGTAAGTAACCTTTCCTGCAAAGATGATTTATGTACTTAGATTCCGAATCTGTAAATCAATACACACACACGTTGCAACTTTACAAGCATCATTTTCTCTTGCGTCTTTCTCAGTGACATTTCACTTGCGTGATACATATTTCCTTACTCGTTTAAACACGTATTTTTCTGTTTCAATCTATACCTTACCAGAAACTTTCATTTTAACATTATAAGTGGGTCTTCATTTTCATTCATGACTGAAATGGGGTCAAATGTTGCCTCACTGCTGAATTCATAAAAAAAAATATCATTGAACACGTAGCGAAAATATTCAGTGTGTTTTTATGCAAAGGATCGTGTTTGTCAGTTGATTTCCGTTTACATATTGAAGAATAAGACCTCTTATTTGAATAATATGGTATATATCAAATGAAATAGTTTTTTTTTTCTTTTACTTAGTTAAAACTAAATTATCTAGGATTCATTGCCATATTGAAAATTGATATTCAGCTTTGTTCACTTTGATTCTATTATAAGTTTTTCTTCCTTCTTAATACTTTGTGTATCAATATACAAATACGCTTTTGGATTTCGTTATCACAGTGACACAATTGGTCCACCGTACGACCGACGGAAAACGCACGAAGTCAACTGGTCCTAACATGATGTTTTGCCTGAAGTGTATCGTGTTGTATAGCCAGCGATTTGGTAAAAAATGATTACTGTGATATTATGTTTATATGTCCCCAAAATCCATTCACTGATGCCCGCAATACTCTGTGGATAAAAGCGTTGGTTAAGTAATCCTAAAATTAAGTAATCCAAAAATTGACTTCACTCAAAATAGTTTTAAGGTCAATACCTGGCCACAGCATAGGGAATAAAAAATCTGGAGAATTGCGTTACTAACAGGAACTAACTGAAATTGAGATATCCCCCCAAAAAAGAAAAAAAAAATGCATGGCATGTGGAATTAGAACAATCTACCTCCGTGGACTACATAAAGGGTTCGGTTTATAGTTCCAGCGTATATCATCTGAGTCAGGTCGGAAATTACTACGACCGAAACGTCGTGAATATAGCAATGAAAATGAGGTGAACAGTCCGAATGATATACTGTAAACAGTTACAATACCCACTTTGAGAAATATGGGGAAATAAAACACTAAATTACAGTTAGACGTTGTTCATATTTGTATTTTAGCGAAGGGAAGAAACAAGAACGATTTATTCAGTTGTTTTTCATGTCTTATCAACCTTTTGCAGGTTATTTAAAGTCTGTTATATAGGAATAAAGTGTCGCTGCCGATACTTGAGGTTGAACTTAGATCGCCAGTGAGCAAACACAGGTGATCCCATTATTGAATTAAGTGGATCATGTGACCATAGAGAAAACGCATATATGTACGAAGTAGCTGGCGACTAAAGATCGCTATTTCTATTCTATCCTCTATTACTATTCGGATCGCTATTCTTTACTCTATCCTCTATTACTATACGGATCGCTATTTTCTACTCTATCCTCTATACTATTTCTCTATGCAGATCCCTATACGGGTTACTTGTCGAGCGAGTTTTATCGAGCAAGTGCCATTAGTGTGAGTGATTCGACGGCGTCTGACACCAGTATTGTTCAACGGCATTACTATAGTTGTATCAGCGATTACAAAGTCTCTACTACAACGAGCATTACAAAAGTGACAACGAGTATTCGCTGGTATCATAAAATGGTAATGGGTGTTCGTTGGCATCACAAAAAAGCTAGAATGTATTTTTATTTATTTATTTTTTCTGTTTAGAATCATTTCTTCAATTGATTCCTCAAACTAACACTTCACTTCCATTCCTGTTAGAAGTTTTTTGAAAATATTAATGATTTTTACTGATAAAAGTTCTGCTGTATAACCCATAGCTGGGGAGATAAGACGTTGATTGTTTACCAACGGCAATTGTGCGTAAGTGAATATAAAGAATCTAACTGGAATTAGAACTCGACTCTCCGATTTCCAACTCCGAGCCGTTATCTATTACATCACCCGCGCATCCAGGATTTAATCACCTGACATTTCCAAGCGGCTTTCTAGGTACTGACCAGGTTTGGCGTTAAATAACATCAGCTAGTCGTACGAGAGCAACTCTTGAAGTGGTTTACATTCATGTGCATCGGATTGACGTACCATTGATTTCAAACCAATTATAAATCAATTCCATACAAGGAGATCTACCAATTGTTTGTATTGATTAATGAATATCAATTCATACATTACCATCACTGTGTGTTCCATGTACCAATTATCATTTATACGCTGAAATTAATGTGCTTTTCAAAGCTTATGATATGTTATTCAAAGTTGGTGTTGAAAAATTCACGCTGTATACGATGTTTTGTTTTATTTGGTTTTTTAAA